CTTTTTTTTTTTTAAAGATAATGGGAAAGCTAATTTTAATTTCTAACGGTCACTTTTGCAATCTGTAAAACAAAAAGCCGAAAAGGGCATTGGGAAAATCCCTCTTTCTGCGAAGTGCATGTGTGAGCTTGGTGGCAGAAATCATGGGCTGTCATGTGATTAATTAATTAAAGTATTTGGGAAACAGAGAAAAGTGAACATGAAAAAAAGGCATGTCTTTTAGGAATAGAGCTAAAGTGAATTGGTTTATTCGTGTGATTTTGTCTCTAAGTCATAGTACCATGATGATTTTGTTAGGTAAATTTTAGCTTAATTGGCTCTGAAAATGATGGTCACACCTGGGTATCCCAAGTCTTTGCCACGCTAGTAGCTCCAAGGTCACATCATAATTTTTTTAGGTTACACTTAAATCAAGAGTTAAATTAAGTCAGTGTTGTTTTTCTTCTCTTTTTTGGGAAAATTTACCTAAATCAATTTTTTTTTTTTGGGTATTGTATTGTTAGTTATTATTTTTTACGGTAAAATTATAATTATTTAAAAAAATGTCAGGATCGATCACAGACACCTGTAATCAATTATAAATTCTCGGTATTGATTTTAATATTTTATGTTCGATCATAGTTTTTAAAATTATAATTTATATTTTAAAAAAAATTATAATTTAACCTTAAAAAATTATAATTTTGAGAGTATTGTTCCTTCTGTTTTTTTAGCAAACGAGTAATTCTAATGAGTGATTTGATCCAAATTTATTTCAATCCTACTCATGGAAGAAACAAGAAGAAGCTGAGATTTATTTTTCCTGTAATTGAAGTCGGGTGGGACTATTATTGTCCTCCTAGCTAGTGGTGACTCTGAAAGTTATGTGGGTCAAGATGTTTAGGTGAAAGACCTTTTGACCATGATCTTTCTCTCAGAATTGTGATCATTACCTTTCTGTGGGCAATCCGGACGGACTCTATATACAGCAACGCACTGCCATTGATATCATATCAATTATCAATGGTGGTCCTTTAAACTCCAATATAGCTGTGATATCTCTTGTCATCTAACTTAAGAATTTTATTATCACAACCCACCCATTCTCAGAATGTGCCATGAAGTTTTGTAGGCAATAGTACAACATTACTCTTCTCATAGAACTAGAATTTATAAATAAGGTTTGGTTAGAAACATTTTTTTATTTATAGTCAGAATTTGAAAAACAATACTAAAAGGAAGACAACTCTAATCACTAATCACCAAACTACCTTTGACCTAGTCTCTTCCAGCCTACTCTTTGTATGCTATTGAAACATACTTATTCCATTTGACCCACACTAGGCCATTGTCACATGGTATTTTATTTCGTGTTTGCAGCCCCCACCCACCCCATCCCAACCCTATGCCCATTGACAAGAAAGTGGCAGGACGAAGGTCATCTTTGGCTGGAACTGGGGGAAGAAAGTGGCAGACTGAAGGTCATCTTTGGCTTGAAATGGGGCTAACTACAGTTGTCTTCAAACTAGACCACATAACTAGCCATTTTGGTAACCACGTTGGTGCAGGACCTACACTATCAACTTCAAGATTGCCAAGTTTTAGGGCCACCATGTGAGCAAAATACTTGGAGGTGGACAAGCCTAGCACTTTTCTTAGTTCCATATATAACACTGCCTAAGGAAGAATTTAACAAGTATTCGGCACAATGCTCTGCTTCAAAGGGTGTGGGCGAGGACGAGTTTCAATCCATCGCCCGCATTCATTTTTGCACGAATTTATACGAATAGTGTCATATACATCTATCGTCTTATACATATGATTCATTTCTGGTCTAAACAAAACAAATTTAAACAAATATCCATTTTTTTCCACTCCGATCTACCACCATTTTTACTTGCTCACCTGCTCATGATCTAAAAGCGATTGTAATATTACTTTCTCTGTCTGTTTGCTCTTACGCTTTAGTTTAGATTGTAATATTATTGATTTGATTGTAATCAACATTGGATTGAACTTCAACTCTGAGCTGTAAATAGCTCATTGCTTCATCTGCCTCTGATGGTACCATAGTAAAGCATGCATTTAAGGGAGCCCACCAAATAAACCTTTTAAGCCTTCTTTTAGTCTAGAGTTGCTGGGGGTTACCAATTTAAGAACTACGACTTTGACCAACGGGCATACCTGATTAAATTGATGGATTATTTATTTATTTTTTAATAATTAAGAGTGGTTGAACTAATTTGTCTACACTATAATTAAATTCTTCAAATTATTTATTTTTTGAAGGCCAATCATTAAATCTTATCAATAAAGATTTTGACATTATCTCTCTAAATGAGCAATATAGTGAATTTGTATATATTAAATTGGACATCGTAACTTACCATCCATATATTTCAAACCCTTTGGACATTTTTGATGTGACTAATGCTATGCACACNAAAAAAAAAAAACAAAACAATTTGAAACAAAGAGTTTCTCCAAGAAGGCAAGTATGGGGTCCTTGTCACCCCAGAAGGGCACAAGCTTAGCAATGTATGCATTGGAGAGGTGGATGGTGCTCTGTCATGGGCACATGCGACTGCTCTGTACTCTTTTAACTAGTTGAATGTGCCAACTTTTTTTCTGGAGGGTTTAAATTTAAACCTAGTGACCTTACCTANCTGTCATGGGCACATGCGACTGCTCTGTACTCTTTTAACTAGTTGAATGTGCCAACTTTTTTTCTGGAGGGTTTAAATTTAAACCTAGTGACCTTACCTAAATGTAGATGTGCTTTAATGGAAATGCTACTTGTACCTTATTTGATGATATAATAGATCATAACTATTAAATTAATAATAAATTTTAACTAATGTTAGAATTTATTGTCAATCTAATGACAGAAAAAATCTTCAAATAAAATTATTTAATAAGATCAACCCTTGNTAAATGTAGATGTGCTTTAATGGAAATGCTACTTGTACCTTATTTGATGATATAATGGATCATAACTATTAAATTAATAATGAATTTTAACTAATGTCAGAATTTATTGTCAATCTAATGACAGAAAAAATCTTCAAATAAAATTATTTAATAAGATCAATGTAGCATTGTTTGTGTCCAACCCTTGTCGTCGNAATAAATTTTAACTAATGTTAGAATTTATTGTCAATCTAATGACAGAAAAAATCTTCAAATAAAATTATTTAATAAGATCAACCCTTGTCGTCGTTGTCTCCTAATTTAGTCCTTTGCCAGATGGTGACTTGACCAGCTAATTAAGTTCATTATTAGCCATGGTCCTTTTGTCTTGAGCTCACAGACAATAATTGGGCGTCAGGCTTTGGTTCCCATGAGAAGGGAAAGACTAAAGTACTAAAAAGAAAGAAATTTTTATATCAAACCGGGGGTTATGACTCAATCCTGTGTGATTACGACTTTATTTCTTTGAAATTGATCCTAGGAACAATTCAAATTTTTTTGAATCGTAACTTAATCTTTATTTACACCCACTAAATCAAGTAATTGATAGCTGCTAGGTCTTCCCGTCTCTCTTACACTTTCCGGGTCTTCGGCCCAAGCTGTATCTCAGGACCAAATTGGTTATTAGACAGTGAAAATTGTAATAAGTGTACCTGAAGAAATTGTTCGTGTAATGTAATCGCCTTTTGTAGAATTATTGTGTGGAGAACCTTTAAGCCCAATAAAAAAAGTCCAGCCCAATATATATGAACGTTGTTACGCCCAATTGTTCGTTAGANTGGGCGTCAGGCTTTGGTTCCCATGAGAAGGGAAAGACTAAAGTACTAAAAAGAAATAAATTTTTATATCAAACCGGGGGTTATGACTCAATCCCGTGTGATTACGACTTTATTTCTTTGAAATTGATCCTAGGAACAATTCAAATTTTTTTGAGTCGTAACTTAATCTTTATTTACACCCACTAAATCAAGTGATTGATAGCTGCTAGGTCTTCCCGGGTCTTCGGCCCAAGCTGTATGAGGCCGAAATTCATCTCAGGACCAAATTGGTTATTAGACGGTGAAAATTGTAATAAGTTTACCCCAAGAAGTTGTTCGTGTAATGTAATCGCCTTTTGTAGAATTATTGTGTGGAGAACCTTTAAGCCCAATAAAAAAGTCCGGCCCAATTTATATGAACGTTGTTACGCCCAATTGTTCGTTAAAAAGCGTGTCCAAATGCTTAGTCCTCAACTCACTGGATCTTGAGCATCAACTATTTTTGAGAAGGCCCAAGACGAAGCGAAACCCAAAAGAAGAGAACGCTCTCTCTCTCTCTCTGGTTCCAAACACTACTCGAGTTTTCTTGGAGTTAACGAGTGTTTTCTTGACCANTTTTTGAGAAGGCCCAAGACGAAGCGAAACCCAAAAGAAGAGAACGCTCTCTCTCTTTCTCTCTCTCTCTCTCTCTCTGGTTCCAAACACTACTCGAGTTTTCTTGGAGTTAACGAGTGTTTTCTTGACCATGCTATTGTCTATTAACTGTTTGTTGTTTTCACGACAAATGTATGCGTATGTATATATGTACAGTATATAATCTATCCGTTGATTTCACATCACATTGGTGAAAATTGCATGTCCCGTTTGAATTTGTTGTTCTTCTGCCTAAGTTATTGAATTATGCACAATCTCATTCTCTGTCTTCATGTGTTGGATGAATATTGCTATGGCGTTTTGCTAACTTTCTTTTTAGAATGTTTCCTAATCAATGCATTAGGCCTATTACTTCCTCAAGTTTCAGAGTTGTTAACTTTATTCTTGTGAATGGTTTTCCTCATTATCCCTATGGAGAAAAAGAGTCATGTATCGTCAAGCCTTTCATGTAGTTCTTCTGCGTGTTTAAGTTAAAATGCATTCCACTATGCCCCCTCTTTCTGTTTGATAACATTCCCCCTAAATTCCAAATAGTTCTTTCCAAACCCCCATTATTTGACTCAAACTCAGGATGTAGACTAACCCTGAAACCAAAAAATAAGGACCTCTCAATATGCCAAAAACTCATGGCAGCTGGAGGGTGTCAAATAGAGCCTTTTATACAATCAAGACACTATGTGATATGGAAGCATATTAATCTCATTTTTTCATTCAATCATGTGTAGTATTTTGTTCTTTTTTTGGGGGTGGAGGTGGAGGTGGGGGTGAGGGCATCTCCCAGCCTAACACTTGTTAGCTGAACCAAAACTTTATAATCGTTTCACACGTGTTATTTTAGCTCCTGATAAAAGTGGTCTGGTATTGGTATGCATTAGTCATTGTCTCATTTGGCTTTGCTAAGATCTATGGCCAGATAGCAGCCCACAAAGCAACCCACATCTAGGGAGGTGGAAGCTACCTTCCATGGACATCCTTGTTGGGACGAGATTGCTAGGCTTAGGAGAAAGTTTACGAAGATGATATTAATTTGACCACTTTTAAATTATATTTTAATTCTTAACTTCTCTTAGGAGTTTTTTCCTTTTGATATATTGTAATCAGCATGCATTTTCTTAGTTTTATTACATTCTGGATTGCTGTAAAAAAAAGATGAATTAGTTCCGAATGCAATTGCATATTAGTTGTATGATGCAAACACATATGTTATGCCTTTTAAGTGCTTATTTTAAGATGCTTGTTACCTTACAATTTTTTCCTTGCAGTCTGTGTAGTGTCTACCTTTACTTTCCTTTTCAAATTTCAGGCTATTAAGACCCAAACATGGTCTGCTTATTAAAATTTCTCCGCCAAATATAGTCTTCGCACTCGCCCTGTTGTCTCACATTTGGACACCTACCAAATTTTGAACACTATAGGAAGGAGAATTAGCTGAGTTTTCTTATGGACCAAAGTGGCTTGGGTCAGTCTGTCACTGTCTCGATGAGACAGAAAAGACAGCACAATTATATATTAGCTTGGTCACTTGTAACCAAATGAAAGTGGGAGCAGTCTAGGTCCCCCTTTGCTGCCCTCAAACCCTACAATGATTTCAGTCACAAGTACTTTTTCAAACAAGGGAGCAAATTGGCTTGGCCATTAAGGTTGAATTAGTGAGTAGAGTAGTAGTCATCTTAGTGCAACACTCATCAAAGATTCCAAAGAAACCCCTAGGGAAACTACTCAACTCCAACTTTATGCAAGACCAATATTGTGCTTACAAAAATCTTAACTCGGTTGGTGAAACTCAAATTTTAGTTTCGAACTTTCTCATTCTGCTGGAGCAACCAAGTCTACTGAAGTTTCATTCGATAGTTGCCACAATGATTATCAGTCTCACTGGGGACCTGGAGCTCATTAAATTGACACTGTAATCTCATCTGCTTTGTATAAGCTGCTAATTGCATCAAAATCTGTGATCATCTATAATAAGAGGATATCACTAATACAAAACCGGGTTCTGGTCTTAAGTATGCTGAAGTTTCTTTTGGCATCATCAGTTAGTATCATCTGTAGATTACACACTCGTTAGTTGGCAAAATAGTCTGTAACATACAGTCACAATCTGTCAGCAATTTTATCTATACAAAGCAAGTGTGCTTCAATTTTCAACAGGATTTTTTAGAGATCCGTTTATGTTACCTGCTGACCTCTCATTACCAGTTCTGAGTTCTTGTGCAAAATAGAGAATTGAATAATTACTTCAAAGCCCTGTTTAAGATGATGATATTTATAGCCTGAATATCAATCCATATTCTTCTGACATTTGAGAAAATTGAAAGAGCAGATCAATGTTTATTGATTTTTTTTTTTTTTGAATTTTGTAACTTTTAATGCTTGATTTCCTTTGAATTGATTATCCACGCACTGTGTGGTTGCGAACAGATGATCCGGGGCTTAGAAGCCAATTTTGTTCATCAATGGCTCACAAATTCAATAACTTTCATAGATGGAGACTCATACCATGGAAATTCTAAATAGTGATTGCAAAATATAAAAATCATCTATACACTGGCGCAAAGGATATAGCTGACGNCAGTCACAATCTGTCAGCAATTTTATCTATACAAAGCAAGTGTGCTTCAATTTTCAACAGGATTTTTTAGAGATCCGTTTATGTTACCTGCTGACCTCTCATTACCAGTTCTGAGTTCTTGTGCAAAATAGAGAATTGAATAANCAAAGCAAGTGTGCTTCAATTTTCAACAGGATTTTTTAGAGATCCGTTTATGTTACTTGCTGACCTCTCATTACCAGTTCTGAGTTCTTGTGCAAAATAGAGAATTGAATGATTACTTCAAAGCCCTGTTTAAGATGATGATATTTATAGCCTGAATATCAATCCATATTCTTCTGACATTTGAGAAAATTGAAAGAGCAGATCAATGTTTATTGATTTTTTTTTTTTTTGAATTTTGTAACTTTTAATGCTTGATTTCCTTTGAATTGATTATCCACGCACTGTGTGGTTGCGAACAGATGATCCGGGGCTTAGAAGCCAATTTTGTTTATCAATGGCTCACAAATTCAATAACTTTCATAGATGGAGACTCATACCATGGAAATTCTAAACAGTGATCGCAAAATATAAAAATCATCTATACACTGGCGAAAAGGATATAGCTGATGTGTAGTCATCAAGAGAGAAGTAAGTGATAGAATATCCTCCTTCCTGCCCTTCTGGATTAGCTGGTGCAAATTTTGTTGTGCTTTTGCTTTATTTTGCCTGCATGAATCATATACAAATAATGAACATTAGAAATTCGGAATGACAGCACTTTCCTATTTTACATTTTAAGATACTATATCATTTCTATGTTCATCCTTGCCAAGCTATGAGGTACTGAAGAGTTTTTCAAGGAAACATTAGTACTCAATGAAGGGTGTGGAAAATAATTACATAATTTGTAGCATGGCTGCTGAAAAGCTGGATCATCAATTGGTGCTGGAGATTCCTGACCGAATATCATCTGGCAGCTCATATCATCGAAATCTGCAAATCAGAAGGTGCTTTTAAGTTTTAACTACATAAACTGTGCATTTCACATGGTTAACTTTGATAAGTCGTAGAATTTGGATTNGGTGATTTTGAGGGTGCTAATGACGATGGTATTGTGTCAACATTGATGATGATTGAGATGACTGTCATGATGGAAATAGAGAAGAAGCACAATCATTGGAGCAGATTGTTTTAGGCAAATTGCCTTGAATTAGGTTAGGTGGGTTCCCATTGCCTTTAAAGGTGTCATTTTTATAGAAGAGAAATGCAAAAGGTACCTGCATTTCTTTATGTGGACGACATTCTTCTCCCTTCCTCCGTTGAACTCCGACTCTCTCACCTTGTATTCAGAATAATATATTACTTTCAGTGGATTAAAAATTCACCAAAGTTTCTCTAAACGCACAAAATGGTGATTCTTTGTTGTGGAATCTGCTTTTGTACTTGACCATCACAAAAATGTTGTACCTGTTGATAAATCAAGTACATAGGCCACTAGTATGCCTAGTTGTGAAGTTCAAGAATGTGGTATGCCACGTAAACTCATATATCAATTGCTTGTCTATGATCTATGTTTTCTTCTTTTTTTACCCAATATATGCTTTTAATCTCGCCCTTCCACTACAGCTCAGATTCTTGTTTGTACTCAAACTGCCAACTGATTCAGGGTGAGGCTGCCATGGACTAGCAAGAGTTTCGTGATCAATGTATTGACTGTGATAGTAGGGTAGGACGTTTGCTGGTTGGGGGATTTTTAACAATACCGAAAACTACTTTTGATATTGTGCCGAACATTATAATCAGTATGGTCAATTGGTAAAAAAAGTGAAGCTACAACTCAAAATTGAGCTGAGTTATGATCGATTCAACAACTTGGGCTCGAGCCCGAAATTTTTATTTTAATCTCATTAAGTCGTGACTTATTTAACATTTTCCAATATGGTACGGAGTCATTACCATAGATTTGTTCCTTCTATATTTTAATTTTTTTTTTCCTGAACAGAAGAGTATGGAGGTTGTTTGATGTTTGCATCTCTTACCTCGCAGGGGCCAACAAGCCAAGAGAAAAAGACAGTAGTGAAAGCGGCAAAATATTCCCTTGCAAGCTTAGATTCTGGTAGTATCATACGGATCTGCATTTGGAACCACAACGTCAATACAAATTCTTTAGTTAGAAGCATTGGCAAAAATTTTGTGTGTAATTTTAATAAGATATTAGAGATGGCGGGTCTTGACGTAATAATAAGATTGTTCTATTATGACCTAGAGATCACGAGTTTAAGTCACGAAAATAGTCTATCTGCTCTTCAAGTATACGTCCTTTTTATTTTTTTTTATGTGAGAGAGAGAGGGAGAGAATTAAATATCCCAAGCCCATGCAAGCTTGCAAAAGACAATACAAAAGAGAAGGAAAAGAATGTAATAAAAATTAAAATATCTTGACGACAAAAACATAGTTAAACATAGCTGCACATCACGGAGGACATAGATGGCTATGTGAACAGAGAGGCGATGCCACATCTTATGGATATTGATAACGAATAGAACAGCTTTGTCGCTTGATATAATTACCTTACAAAATTCATCTGTGGTGATAATAATAATAATAAATAAAGACGATGATTATGGTGAAAGAGGATGAAGAAGAAGAAAGAACAACTTGCCAAATAGAGGATAGGCTTAGGAAAGGCTTTATCAAGAGCTTCAATGATAATTTTTTGTTGTTGGGTTGGATTGAAGTTCCGTGATGCCACTTTTGCTGCCTCCACCAAACCATCGTATCCACCCTTATTGTTTCTCAACCCTATATGCATATAAACATATACACACGTAAATATTTTCCGATTTGGTTCGATACTTCCAAAACTCAAAACACAAAAGCAGTACATAAAATCAACCTGATGCAGCTTGGACGTTGTGGGAGAGATGATTGATCGCTAGACGATCGAACCAATTGTCATTATAAACAGTTTTTGAGCTTGTCAAGCCCTCGACGTTCTTGGTCGGCCTCGTCAGAACGGCGAGAACATGATGATGAGATACTTTCGGCTTGTGCATGTGCTTCCGGCGAGCCCCGGTGGCCGGGAAAGGGCTTTGGGGTCGCAAAAGATGATTTGCCTCCATAGGAGAAAGACAGGGGGAGAGAGACAGTAAGTCAGAAATTTTCTTAAAAAATAGAGTTGGGATGAAACAACAAAAGAGCATTTTTATAGAAGCTGGCTCATGTTGATGCTTATACATGTTGGTATCTTCTATGCATAACTACTAGCATCATTTGTGGTCTTTCCAAAGATGCCTTTTGGCTGTAGTGTGTGTCTGTAGAAGACAACAATAAGAATAAGCACCGGCCAAGAGTGGTTTGTCTTGTATTTTGAGTCATATTATTTTTGAGTTTATATTAAATATGTATCTATCTAAATCCAATCTATTAATTCATTATGTTAGATCTTTAAAAATTTATCTTGTCCTATTTGTATTAATCCGTATAACTCATAAATAAAAAATCTAAGATTAAAATCACATTTCGTCTCAACCAAATCCACCACTAATAATTTTTTCATACTAAAAATTCAACAAGTCTATATAATAGCAATTACAACTAAGAACTGCGCTAGTTTTATAATAATTCATCTCAATCTTGATAAAAAAAATATATATATATATATAAATTAAATATTTTATTCATATATACTAGTTAAACGTGTTTATCATGTCAAATTCAAATAATTTATATTTAATAAAAACCTAATAATAAGTTACTATTCATGTTAGCAAATTTATGTTGTTTTTTAAATTGGGTAGAGAACTAGTTAATCTTAATCTTATAATTTTATATCAAGTTCTTGGCGTGTTAATATATTGTGCTTAAAATTGAACCGCCCAATCAATAAAGTTTGGATCTATTTAGAAAAGGAGAGGTCAAGGTAATATTATTCCCATGTCCTACCTTACTAGCAAACTGATAATAGCGTCAAAAATGATAGCGGGTAAGACCATAATATTGATTCTGGGCTTAAGTGTAATTTCTAAAACCTAAAGGGATGTAAGTTATTTTTAGTAAACCCAAAGAAAGTCTCTCTCTCTCTCTCTGGTTATGATCTCAACCCTGTCCTTCATTAATGGATAATTTACTGTGCTTACTGGCTCATAACATCAACATCCACACCTCGTTTTACTTACCCAAAAAAAAAAAAAAAAAAAATCAGCATTAACACATTTACCCAAGAAAATCACATCAGCTTCTAATGCTATAATCTAAATGTCCCAAATCGACATGACATAAAGTGACAAAGTGAAAATTTTATCTATAAAAAATTATATGTGTCTGTCGTATCAATCAACCTATGCTATTTTCTGCAGACCAGGCCCAGCCCGTGTCATATAACCTCATCTTTATTCATGACCAATCCAATACCAGCCCAGAACCTAATCAAAAAGTTTCGGTTCACTCTCAAAGGCCTTAGTGGCCTGAATGGCTGAACGTCTGAACAGGCCCATGGACACCTTGGCCCATACGAAACCCAAGGGCGGCTCAACAGTATTATATAAAAAAAATTGGGTTTTTTTGTTGTGATTATAATTTTTAGATTTATTTGAGAAAAAAGTGTATAGATAAGTTAGTTACTTTATTAAGTTCAATTTTAATAAATCATATTGTGTTTAGGTATAAAATTTAAATTAGATTAAAATTTTTTTACCTAAATACTAAATTATGCATTCTTAATTGGCAAAAATATATTTAATCAAATATGTAAAGATTTCATTAAACTTTTCCCTATTTTCTCTCCATCTTTCTCTCTCTCTATTACTTTTCTCGTCTCTCCCATATTTTATCTCTCTATTTATCATTAATAATTTATTTTCTTTTCAAATATATAAAAATTTAATTTATTTTTTCATATCTCTTTCTCCTGTATTCTCTCTCTCTTCCCCTATTTTCTTTAACCATCTCTTTCTCCCTATTNTCGGCTTTAGCCCCAAAACCTTGACGTCGCAAGTCGGTCATCGCCAGCACCTCTCTCACTCTCTCTCTCTCTCACACACACACAGAGCGCTGGCGCATTGGATCTTGTTTAATCTGTTGAATTTTTCAGGTTACATCGAGATCTTTCAAAGGAAGAAGAAATGGCTTACGCAGCGATGAAGCCGACAAAGCCGGGGTTGAAGGAACCTTAGGAACAGATTCACAAGATTAGAATCACTCTCTCCTCCAAGAACCTCGAAAAAAGGTCTCTTTCTTTTATTTCTACGTTTATTATTAGATATATGACTGACTCTGTTTTTGATTCTTTGCAATTGATTTGATGTTAGTGTAATAGTGTGCGCTGATTTGGTTCTTGGTGGCCCAGGCAAAAAGCTCAGGGTCAAGGGACCAGTGAGGATGCCCACCAAGGTTCTTCNTATACAAAATTATGACACTAATCTAATTTGTTATTCAGTTGTTCACATAAACTAAAAAGTTGTATCATTTAGTATTGTTACATCAATTATATATATGTCAAATTTAGTATAATAATAAATATGACAATTAAATCTTTAAAAAAGGATAAAATTTCACCATTAAATATTTGAATCTCTTTTAATTTTAGTAAAAAAAAAGTCTCCATTGATTTGATATAAGTTTGAGTAAGGGTTTAAGTAAATTTTTTAGATTNCAATTGATTTGATGTTAGTGTAATAGTGTGCGCTGATTTGGTTCTTGGTGGCCCAGGCAAAAAGCTCAGGGTCAAGGGACCAGTGAGGATGCCCACCAAGGTTCTTCACATCACTACTAGAAAGTCACCATGCAGCGAAGGTACATTTTTTAAAAGGTTATGACCCAATTATTATAATTGGAAGGTTGTGCTTAGACTGACGATTGTATCTCTTTGTCCGTGTCCGTGTTCATACTTCTCATACCTTAGTTAAACATCAAATTGTTTTTAGATTGATGTATTTCACATAATTGACTATAAATTTCCTATCCCAATGATTATAGAGTTCAATGTGCTCCCCAATCGTAGCTATCAAAGGTTACCAAGTGCAATCTTATGTAAAAACATGAATTTGTCCATCTATGGTGGCCACTTGTTCAAGTTAAGGATTAATTGTATTAGAGGTCCTTAAAGTATGGGGTTTGTCTCATTTTGGTTCTCAATGTTTTAGTTGCACCATTTTGGTCCCTAAAGTATTGAATATGTTTCTATATGGTCTCTCAGTCAAACAACGTCCAAATTACTAACAATTTTTTTTATCAAAAACTTATCTTGTAATACTTAAATATGGACAAAAAATAATTTTGATAGCTCTTAAACAAAATTTAGTTAGCTATTGACAAAAAAAATGTATAATATGGGTAATTTTTGACTAAAATTTGGATAATGATCTAAATTGTCTAATTTAGGTAGCTATTTAACCAAAATTTAAGTAAAAATTTGGTCAAGAGTTATTCAAATTATTTTTTTGTCCATATTTAAGTATCACCTGACAAATTTGTGATAAAAAAATGTTAGCAATCTGAACATTATCTACTTAAGTGACCATATAAAACATATTCAATATTTCAGAGACAAAAATGATACAATTGAAAATATTGGGTGCCAAAATAAGATAAATTTCATATTTTGGAGACCTCCAGTGTAATTAACCCTAACTAATATATGGATAATAGTGACAAGAATATGTTTTAGTGCAGCTGGGCATGCCGGCATGCTTATACCAACATGTAACAAAATAAATAAAATCTGCTTTGCAATATTAACGGTTAATTATTACCCATTTTTTATCAACAGGAAAAGCTTGAAAAGCTTGTTTTTTAATCGAATTTTAAAAATTGTTCAAGTTCGGCTCGTTTAGAAAATGAGCCGAGCCGAACCCAAGTCAAGCCCGAGTATTTGAATATAAACGAGTCGAGCTTGTTGAATTTGAACCAAGCTTGTAGGGCTTGTTTTCTAAACGAGTCTAAAAATTTTTTCAATTTCGAATTCGTTTAAAAAACGAATCGAGTCTGAACGAACTGAACCCGAGTCAAACTAAAGTCAAGGTCGAGTAGTTCAGTTTAATTAACAGCCCTTCACATGAGATAGGTTTGAACTCTGCGTTCACAAGCGGGTGATTGACCTCTTTAGCTCCCCAGAAGTGGTTAAGCAGATTACCTCAATCACATGAGCCTGGTGTTGAGGTTGAGGTGACCATTGCTGATTCTTAAACTTGCCGTACTCTTTTCTATATTTATATGATTACCCATAGGACCAATTTCTAGCACATCACAGTCTTAGATTCATGAAAAATCAGTATTTCTAGTGGACAAAATCAATTATCTACCAGATGTTACAATTTTGGTTGTGACAGTAATAAGTATTCTACCATTTTTGCTTTTATTACTAAGTATGGGCAGTAAACCATGCCCTCACTTCTCCAGGTTTCATCCTCCTCTGCCTAGGTAGAACACCCCAAATTCAAAAGACACAACTGGAACTTGTCCTTTATTTCTTTCATTAAGAGGATGTAAAATGAATGGAGTTTCCATGGATCCCATTGTAATCTCTGGCCAAAAGCATGATGAACTAATCATATCCAAAAATCGAACTGTATTGTCACCTAAGCTGTTTAATATGTCAGTGTCCATTGCTAGGATTGAACTTGAATGCTTATCAATCAACCAAGACGGGCACAAAGAACCAGAGAAAGATCCAAAAGACTGCAAACTAACTTGGAATCTCCATCACTNGAGAGAAAAATAGATAGAAAAAAAATAGGGAAGAGAGAATAATGGAGAGAGGGAAAGATAGAGAGACTAATCGAGTAATAAATGACTTTTTAATTTTTTTTTTTCAAAAAAGTACACTTAGTCTAAATGTAGTTTAGATCAAATAAGTCTAGATCAAATAATGTAGTTTAGATCAAATAATTNTTTTTAATTTTTTTTTTTCAAAAAAGTACACTTAGTCTAAATGTAGTTTAGATCAAATAAGTCTAAATTTTTGTACCGATTTTCAAATTAACGAAAAAACTTGGACTTTAGGCCTCATTTTTAAAGAATGTCTCAAATTTTTAGATATCATAATAGTACATATAAAAAAATTAAATTCATAAATATTTTAAACCCTACAAAAAGTACAAGTTGAATAAAAAAAAATTTAAGA